ACGGGCTGCTTCCTGGGGTGTGTGTGGGGGGGGGAGTAGTAGAAACAGTTGATTGACAAGTGAGAGGCGGGCTGACAGAGCAGAGCTCAACCCCTGTAAGCACAACTAGGTGAACACAACTAGGTGAACAACAACTAGGTGAACACAACTAGGTGAACACAACTAGGTGAACAACAACTAGGTGAACACAACTAGGTGAACACAACTAGGTGAACACAACTAGGTGAACAACAACTAGGTGAACACAACTAGGTGAACACAACTAGGTGAACAACAACTAGGTGAACACAACTAGGTGAACACAACTAGGTGAACACAACTAGGTGAACACAACTAGGTGAACACAACTAGGTGAACACAACTAGGTGAACAACAACTAGGTGAACACAACTAGGTGAACAACAACTAGGTGAACACAACTAGGTGAACACAACTAGGTGAACAACAACTAGGTGAACACAACTAGGTGAACAACAACTAGGTGAACAACAACTAGGTGAACAACAACTAGGTGAACAACAACTAGGTGAACACAACTAGGTGAACAACAACTAGGTGAACACAACTAGGTGAACAACAACTAGGTGAACACAACTAGGTGAACACAACTAGGTGAACACAACTAGGTGAACAACAACTAGGTGAACAACAACTAGGTGAACACAACTAGGTGAACACAACAAGGTGAACACAACTAGGTGAACACAACTAGGTGAACACAACTAGGTGAACAACAACTAGGTGAACACAACTAGGTGAACAACAACTAGGTGAACACAACTAGGTGAACACAACTAGGTGAACACAACTAGGTGAACAACAACTTAACAGGCGCTGAAAGCCATATGAAAACACAAACCATTTTTGGTGCAATTATATTAAATTATAATCACATTATATCTCTTGTCTTATTTTTCACGTGAAAGATAACGTAGTGAGTTGTGGGTTTGGCCACCACGGTGAGTTGGCGCTGCCTGTACTCACCTAGTTGTGTTTGCGGGGGTTGAGCTCTGGCTCTTTGGTCCCGCCTCTCAACCGTCAATCAACAGGTAGTCATTGGCTTGTCACGTGTACTCGTCTCTCTAACGAGCTTGGGGAATACCTCCCACGCTCTTGTCATTGCTCCACACACAACATTAATTTTTTTGGGGGGGTACTTAAGACTAGGTTTGTAATTGTTAGTAATTGTTTAGTGTTGTATTGAGGTGACGTGTTAATACCACTTCCCCCTCCCCCCCTCCTCCCTCGTCTTCCCCTCCCCCCTCCACCCTCGTCTTCCCTCCCTAGAGCACCCTCCACCCTCGTCTTCCCCTCCCCCCTCCTCCCTCGTCTTCCCCTCCCCCCCTCCCTCCCCCCTCCCAACTTAAACCCCTCTTCTTCCTAAAAAATAATATTACAAAGCAATGAAACTACTATACGTGTTTAATTTTAAGGAAACATTCGTTCTGACGACAAAAAAGTCTTGGGTCACCTCCACCAATATTTCACATTTGACCAGAATCGAATCCGTGAGAATCTGATGTGAGAGTGTGAATAATTAATACTAATTTTTAAACCATATAACTTAGGCCTACCCAGACCAGCCTATGTCCGTCCTGTACCGCAGACTATTTCCCCTACAAATTGGGACAAGGCCAGCTCCAAGCGCCTGACCTCCAACTTTGGACAGACAGACATTCTTATAGTAGATACTACAAGAGCTTTCCTTCAAAATTACGAAATTATCATACCTGCAGACATATTATATTATATTATATTATATATGTATATTATATATATATATATATATATATATATATATATATATATATATATATATATATATATATATATATATATATATATATATATATATATATATATATATATATATATATATTTTGGTAGCAGTCTTTCCTGTAGACATATTTTATTAAATATGACCGAAAAAGTAAGATTAATAATTCTAACACGAATTTTCTCAATCTTTCGTACATTATGCTTCACTGTTGGAGGTAAATCAAAAATCACTTCTCCAAAATTCATTTTTATTTCTAGTCTGACGCGACACGGGCGCGTTTCGTAAAACTTATTACATTTTCAAAGACTTCACAAATACACAACTAATTAGAACTTGCGTTTCCCTGATTTTATATCTACATTTGAGTGAGGTGGGAAGGGTGATGTGGCATTACATTTGAGTAAGGTGGGAAGGATGATGTGGCATTAGAGGATATTAATAGGGTATTAAAAGTATCAACACAAGACAGAACACGAAACAATGGATATTGAATAGAAGTGTTTGTAGAAAGCCTATTGGTCCATATTTCTTGATGCTTCTATATTGGAGCGGAGTCTTGAGGTGGGTAGAATATAGTTGTGCAATAATTGGCTGTTGATTGCTGGTGTTGACTTCTTGATGTGTAGTGCCTCGCAAACGTCTAGCCGCCTGCTATCGCTGTATCTATCGATGATTTCTGTGTTGTTTACTAGGATTTCTCTGGCGATGGTTTGGTTATGGGAAGAGATTATATGTTCCTTAATGGAGCCCTGTTGTTTATGCATCGTTAAACGCCTAGAAAGAGATGTTGTTGTCCTGCCTATATACTGGGTTTTTTGGAGCTTACAGTCCCCAAGTGGGCATTTGAAGGCATAGACGACGTTAGTCTCTTTTAAAGCGTTCTGTTTCGTGTCTGGAGAGTTTCTCATGAGTAGGCTGGCCGTTTTTCTGGTTTTATAGTAAATCGTCAGTTGTATCCTCTGATTTTTGTCTGTAGGGATAACGTTTCTATTAACAATATCTTTCAGGACCCTTTCCTCTGTTTTATGAGCTGTGGAAAAGAAGTTCCTGTAAAATAGTCTAATAGGGGGTATAGGTGTTGTGTTAGTTGTCTCTTCGGAGGTTGCATGGCTTTTCACTTTCCTTCTTATGATGTCTTCGATGAAACCATTGGAGAAGCCGTTATTGACTAGAACCTGCCTTACCCTACAGAGTTCTTCGTCGACTTGCTTCCATTCTGAGCTGTGGCTGAGAGCACGGTCGACGTATGCGTTAACAACACTCCTCTTGTACCTGTCAGGGCAGTCGCTGTTGGCATTTAGGCACATTCCTATGTTTGTTTCCTTTGTGTAGACTGCAGTGTGGAAACCTCCGCCCTTTTCCATGACTGTTACATCTAGAAAAGGCAGCTTCCCATCCTTTTCCGTCTCGTAAGTGAAACGCAGCACGGAACTCTGCTCAAATGCCTCCTTCAGCTCCTGCAGATGTCTGACATCAGGTACCTGTGTAAAAATGTCGTCAACATACCTGCAGTATATGGCCGGTTTCAAGTTCATGTCGACTAAGACTTTTTGCTCGATGGTACCCATGTAGAAGTTTGCAAACAGGACACCTAGGGGAGAACCCATAGCGACCCCATCTACTTGCTTATACATGTGCCCATCCGGGCTCAAGAAGGGTGCCTCTTTAGTACAAGCTTGGAGTAGTTTCCTCAGAATACAGTTTCCTCAGTTTCCTCAGTTGTGTATTTGTGAAGTCTTTGAAAATGTAATAAGTTTTACGAAACGCGCCCGTGTCGCGTCAGACTAGAAATAAAAATGAATTTTGGAGAAGTGATTTTTGATTTACCTCCAACAGTGAAGCATAATGTACGAAAGATTGAGAAAATTCGTGTTAGAATTATTAATCTTACTTTTTCGGTCATATTTAATAAAATATATATATATATATATATATATATATATATATATATATATATATATATATATATATATATATATATATATATATTAGTATATGTCTGAAGGCATGACTCTCTCCCCTTCCCCCTTCTCTCATCTCTTTCTCTCTCATCTCTCATCTCTCTCTCTCCCATCTCCCATCTCTCATCTCTCTCTCCCTCTCTCCCTCCCTCTCTCTACCGTGCCTCATCATCGTGCTCTCCGTAATGGTGAAATGTGGTAAATGAGGTGGCGTTAGGGCCTTTGTCTTGTGTGGAATGACCAGAGCGCAAAAACCCCTAGAGGCCAGGCCCCGTAAAACATTTATATGGCCTTTTTTATCAGAGTGGCGCGTGTAGGAATGCCTTTCGCTCCTTAAAGAAATAGTAGAAAGCAACTGCAAGATGCCCCGGAGGTGAAGTATTCTCATTACCTCTTACGTTAATGAGTTAACCTTACCTGGAGAAAGCCTTTGGCATTACCAGGGGGATATTTACCATGCTGTTAAAGGCAATAGTGTGATGCATTATTTTATAAAATATTGCAATTTCAAAGCCTATATTCTGCCAGCCACAACAGCCTGCCGGATCATTCCAGAGCGGGGAGGAGCATAGTGACCCCAGGTCACCTCCAGGTCTCATTATGTCTCACCTGGTCTCACCCCTCATGACCGTCTCTCATGCATACACTCACCTCGTGTACTGGACATTATTGCTCAGAGCTCCACCTGTGTTGTGACCACAGCGGTGAGTCACAGCTCCCAACGGTCACTCAAAGGTCACTCAGTTATGTTATGCGGCTTCACTTGACCCGGCCTGGCCCGGCCTGGCCCAGCCTGGCCCAGCCTGGCCCAGCCTGGCCCAGCCTGGCCCAGCCTGGTTCAGCCTTGTCCGACCTAACAAGACATGGACCGGCTTTTTCAGATATTTGAGGGTCAACATCAGTATATATCGACTATCTATCTATACATATTATATATATATATATATATATATATATATATATATATATATATATATATATATATATATATATATATATATATATATATATATATTTGTTTATATATATATATATAAACAAAAATCCTGCAGCAGCTGCCAATTAGTGCTACAGGCAGGGTACTTTCTCCTTATTTTTGTCATGTCTCCTCCTCCTCCTCCCTTTTATCTTCCCGCTTTTCTTCCTTAATTATCTCCTCCCTTACCTGGAGCATACCTGGGGAGGGTTTCCAGAGTTCTTCTACTCCCCGAGCCCGGCCTAGACATTTTTATTTACTCCTTTTTCATTGAGCTGAAGGGATGGGTGCTGAAGGCATGGGTACTGGAGGGATGGATGCTGAAGGCATGGGTGCTGGAGGGATGGATGCTGAAGGCATGGGTACTGGAGGGATGGATGCTGAAGGCATGGGTGCTGGAGGGATGGATGCTGAAGGCATGGGTGCTGGAGGGATGGATGCTGAAGGCATGGGTGCTGAAGGCATGGATGCTGAAGGCATGGGTGCTGGAGGGATGGATGCTGAAGGCATGGGTGCTGAAGGCATGGATGCTGAAGGCATGGGTGCTGAAGGGATGGATGCTGAAGGGATGGGTGCTGGAGGGACGGATGCTGGAGGACCAGGCTAGACGAGTGACCGTAATAGTTTGGGTGAGTTACAGAGTAAGGTCATTCTTACTCTAGTTTTTGTATTTAGTAATTCCCACCATTTTGCCTCCAAGATGCGGTGTTACCATAGGATAACACTAACACCCACAAGGGTGTTAAGTTCCCTGATCAACACCTGCAATCCACCTCAACACACGCAACAATACCCCGCAAAACAAAAGTACTCCCAACAATAGCGTGTAGCGAGAGATGTGATGCAAGAAGCAGCCATTGTGTTAGAGAGACATTACGCTGACTCCCATCTCCTTATCTCCCACCTTCCCTCCTCCATCCCCAGGCGACCTTCACCTTCCTGGCACCTTCCTCCACAATACTTCACTATCTTGGAATGTTGAATGCCTGACAACATGTATTTTATATATTATATATATATATATATATATATATATATATATATATATATATATATATATATATATATATATATATATATATACATACATACATTCATTGAGGCTCAGTTGCTGGGCCTATTATGTACCCCTGTAACTATACATAATACATGAACCTAATCAATACAATCTGTGTTACATGATTGACTTCACACTCCGTCGTCTTCCAGTACAGTGGTGCAGAAGGCCCTCCAGACCTTCGTGGTGCTTGGGAAGATAGTGTTGAATCCGTTGCTCTTCTTAACTTCCTGCAACAAACTTTGGTATAACAAGCACTTGAAAACTTAATTTAAAAACAGCTTTGTTTATATATTTCCAGCATGGTTGGTTCTGGTGCAGAGCTGCGAGTGCAGGCACGGGGAGGGTGCCAGAGTGCCTCACCAGCCTGCTGTCACTCGCCATGTTCTTCACCTAAATATTACCATGCCGGGAGTTGGCACCCGGCGCTGTTACCAGTGATTTAATGTATTCCCGCCAAACACACACCGAAACTACGACGTTGGTACAACGTTCGAATATGTTTTAACACCTCCTAACGAGTTATAACAACCAATATAGCAGGTTGTAACAACGTTCTAATACGTCATCAACACGTTAAGCCAAGATGTAACAACTTTATTACAAGTTGTAACAAGCGGAAAATAGAGACAGTTTCGGTTTGTGTTTCCAGGGTTGAGGTCCACACAACCTCCCGGTACAGCACCAGCACCGGGACCCACACCGGGACCCACACCGGGACCCACACCTCTCCATACCCTGACACACTCCAGCGCGCCCTTTTTGGGGGGCATCTTATGCAAAGAAGTACTTAAATTTAATTCTGTTTCACTCCGTCTTGCGCATACATGCGCACTGCCACTAACTGATGAAGTGTACACTACCTTGTTCGGTGTTCTGATCTGGCGTAGTTGGGTTGGCTGGTTAGCCATTAACTCGGGAGACGGGGAGTCCTTACTGGATCTCGTCCAGTAATTACCAGAGCCGTCACCCGGTGTGGCAGTGCCCAGTCCCTCTACAACTGCCCACGCTGAAGGCAGCGTGTCACCCGCGGACACTCACAAGTAACAGGATGAACAACCCAGCGGGTTTTCTTCTTATTGGGGAGTGTTGTACATGCTGCTATGGCGGTGTGTCCACTCACAAGATGAGTGGCGCTGCCCAATAAACTCGCCCCTCGGGGCAAAATTTAAATTTAAATTTACTCACGCTGCCTCCACCGCTCTCCTCTACCAAGAACCATCTTGAGATTCTAGAGAGGTTATCTTGAGATGATTTTTCGGGGCTTAGCGTCCCCGCGGCCCGGTCCTCGACCAGGCCTCCTATTTGTTACACACCCCCCAGGAAGCCGCCCGTAGCAGCTGTCTAACTCCCAGGTACCTATTTACTGCTATGTAAGAAGGGCATCAGGGTGAAAAACATTTTGCCCATTTATCTCCGCCTCCACCGGGGATCGAACCCGGAACCTCAGGACTACGAATCCGAAGCGCTGTCCACCCAGCTGTCAGGCGGCTATCCCACACAAAAATAAAACAAAATAAAGCTTCTTTATCCAACATTTCCACCGACATAATTGTAAACTTTATTCAAACGTTTTCCAGACCAAGAAGCAACCTCCTGGTCCCCCCCCCCACAACACCCACCCAGACCCAAGATCTTTCGCCTCTCAGGAAACCCTATTTATCCACAACTTCCCGCACCATCGAACGACAGTTCTTTTCTTGTGTGAATAGTTACCTGGAGGTTACATCTTCCCAGACGCCGCCCCTTTCCATCTTGTCCGTAACTATTAAGAGCCATTTATCTTTTTTTCCACCTCTCGTTCCGTCGTGGATAACCGCGGTCCTGCGGTCCCAGAACCACCGCGGTCCTGCGGTCCCAGAACCACCGCGGTCCTGCGGTCCCAGAACCACCGCGGTCATGCGGTCCCAGAACCACCGCGGTCCTGCGGTCCCAGAACCACCGCGGTCCTGCGGTCCCAGAACCACCGCGGTCCTGCGGTCCCAGAACCACCGCGGTCCTGCGGTCCCAGAACCACCGCGGTCCTGCGGTCCCAGAACCACCGCGGTCCTGCGGTCCCAGAACCACCGCGGTCCTGCGGTCCCAGAACCACCGCGGTCCTGCGGTCCCAGAACCACCGCGGTCCTGCGGTCCCAGAACCACCGCGGAATCTCTCTCCTTGGCGTTTGGTCTCCACGAAGCACCAGCGCTGTATTAAGAAAATTTATTGATTTATATTTTCTTGTACATTTCTCCAGGAAAGGTAAGTTGTTGTGCTTTCAGGTGCTGGTGGGAGCTGTGATCTCGTGTGTTGTTGGGGTTGGCATGGAGGAGACGACCCACACAGGTGGCCGAGGTTGGTGTAGAGGCTGGCCCGCCAACCCCAGGCTACAGCCGTGGTATTATAAGACCACTGAATACACCAGAACTCTTGCCCGCGGGCCTAAAGTGCTTCTACACCTCCCAACCTGTTGCGGGCTCACCATAGACCGTGCTACATGGACACTTCGTTCTGAGTAGCTAAATCTAAAACAACAACTCCCATCCTGGGCTCCGCTGTGTGTGTGTGTGTGTGTCTTCACCTACACGTGTGAGGGAGACTCAGCTCCTGGCCCCCGCCTCTCTAGCCCTAGAGTCGCTACATAGTTGCTGCCTAATCCTTTCTTCTTTGAATTAAAATTTAAACAAGTCTATTGAGATATGAAGACACAAAATGGGGTGAGGTAGGGAAGGGAACTATCAGGAGAACGCGCCAAGCCATCGCGACTATATAGCACTTAGAAGGGATTAGGGATGGGACCGAAGGGGGGGGGATGTATCCAACGAATTAATTGGACAGTCGGGGATTGAACGCCGGCCTGCTGAAGCAAGACTGTCGCTCTACCATAGGAACAAGAGGAAGGGGGAAGGGGGGTGAGGGAGGGGCGTGGGGGGCAGGTGATGGTTGGGGAGAAAAGGGACGGGTGCAGGTGAGGGCAGCAAGGCACTAACAAGGCCAGGTGCCAGGTGAAGGTCAGGGGCTAACATGGCACTATTCTCGGGTATGTAGGCCACGAACCTCACACCACAACACAACACAACACACCAGAACACAACACAACACACACCACAACACACAACACAACACAACACAACACACACCACAACACACAACACAACACAACACAACACACCAGAACACAACACACCAGAGCACACCACAACACACCAGAGCACAACACAACACAACACACCAGAGCACACCACAACACACCAGAGCACACCACAACACACCAGAGCACAACACAACACAACACACCAGAGCACAACACAACACAACACACCAGAGCACACCACAACACAACACACCAGAGCACACCACAACACACCAGAGCACAACACAACACAACACACCAGAGCACACCACAACACACAGAGCACACACAACACAGAGCACAACACAACACAACACACCAGAGCACACCACAAAAGCACACACACCACAACTGCCCACAAAAGCATTACCACAATCAAGAAGACTATTGTAACCTCACACACAGTATTAAACATCAGGAAAGTATGAGAGACCTCGGACACAGATCAGTGAGAGGGGAGCAGCCATTTATCTCGTCTAACCTTACACTGTCAAGTGACAAGATACATTAATCTCGTCGTGGACGACGTCTCCTTCAGACATTTGACGGGAGTCCTCGTGCTGGCTCGCCTTGTTCATGTCAGCGACGGTCTATCTACCTTGTGTCTACCTTGTGTCTACCTTGTGGCGGCTCCGGGGATCAACATCAACTTGCCCGCGGCCTTGTCTCTAACTAGGCCTCCTGGCTGATCAAACATCAACCAGTCCAGAACCCAGGCACTTAAAACTCAGTCGACCGAAGGTTCAGAAGTGGGGACCCAAGAACTGAGTCTCAGCACACACAAGTACAGCTAGAATAGCAGACACGTCGAAAGAAACAAGCACCACGCGCCTGGATTGCACCCATAGATGGTTCTGGGACAACGTCTACCCAGCAAGCCAGCATTCCATCCTATGTTTACACATTTCTCTCAAGGGCCCCCCAAGTCCCCGGAGTCCCCCAGGACACCCTATTGAGTCCCCAACTTGATCTTCAGCGAGAGAGCTACTCTCAAGACGCAGGAGAGGTCGTCTTGTGACCCGTCACAACCTGTTCACCTCCGCTCACACACGTCTACTCTACTTAGTAACCTTCACACCTGTCCTCTGCCACTAAGAACACCCGCTTGCAACTGTTCAAGTTTTCTCCTATGTTTTGATTGTGTTTTAGTTAGTTTTACACCGGGACGCTGCCGTCGGCGACCTGCTCAGTCTCCGCCAGTTACACCGGGACGCTGCCGTCGGCGACCTGCTCAGTCTCCGCCAGTTACACCGGGACGCTGCCGTCGGCGACCTGCTCAGTCTCCGCCAGTTACACCGGGACGCTGCCGTCGGCGACCTGCTCAGTCTCAGCCTGTTAGGTTAAGGAGCGTTTTTGTTATGGTGAGTCACGAGACGCCGCCAGACAACGAGACCAGCCTCGCTCTTAACAAGGCGGCTGGCGACAAGTGTGGCAAGTGTCCTGTCCTCGACGAGTGTGGCAGGTGTCCTGTCCTCGACAAGTGTGGCAGGTGTCCTGGCCTCGACAAGTGTGGCAGGTGTCCTGTCCTCGACGAGTGTGGCAGGTGTCCTGTCCTCGACAAGTGTGGCAGGTGTCCTGGCCTCGACAAGTGTGGCAGGTGTCCTGTCCTCGACGAGTGTGGCAGGTGTCCTGGCCTCGACAAGTATGGCAGGTGTCCTGTCCTCGACAAGCGTGGCAGGTGTCCTGTCCTCGACAAGTGTGGCAGGTGTCCTGTCCTCGACAAGTGTGACAGGTGTCCTGCCCTCGACAAGTGTGACAGGTGTCCTGTCCTCGACAAGTGTGACAGGTGTCCTCGACAAGTGTGGCAGGTGTCCTGTCCTCGACAAGTGTGGCAGGTGTCCTGTCCTCGACAAGTGTGACAGGTGTCCTGCCCTCGACAAGTGTGACAGGTGTCCTGTCCTCGACAAGTGTGACAGGTGTCCTCGACAAGTGTGGCAGGTGTCCTGTCCTCGACAAGTGTGGCAGGTGTCCTGTCCTCGACAAGTGTGACAGGTGTCCTCGACAAGTGTGGCAGGTGTCCTGTCCTCGACAAGTGTGGCAGGTGTCCTGACCTCGACAAGTGTGGCAGGTGTCCTGACCTCGACAAGTGTGGTAGGTGTCCTGTCCTCGACAAGTGTGACAAGTGTCCTGACCTCAACAAGTGTAGCAGGTGTCCTGGCCTCGACAAGTGTATATATACTCTACTTCTTCTTTGAACACATTTACACATGACGAAAATAAAGGTTCAGAGAATTACACTCCATTCCTACAGTATACAGGACACCCCCCAGTAGGGGGGCAGGAGCCGTGCCCCCCACCACCCCAGCAGGGGGGCAGGGGCCGTGCCCCCCACCACCCCAGCAGGGGGGCAGGGGCCGTGCCCCCCACCACCCCAGCAGGGGGGCAGGGGCCGTGCCCCCCACCACCCCAGCAGGGGGGGCAGGAGCCGTGCCCCCCGCCACTGCGACACGGAAGCCCACGAGGTTATGACATTGTCGCCAAGTCCTCCGACGTGACTTTTTTGTTCCTTATAATTGTAGACGTCCAGTTATGGCGGGCCAAGGCCCATCCCCTCGGTAATATTAGTGGTGCTTAGAGCCCTGTGCTGTGACGCCCCCCCCCCTCCTTATGCCCCCCGGCGCCCCCTCCTCCTGTGGTATAATAAACCCCCCTTCCTACCCCCTACCCATCCCTATCCCCTATTCCCTACCCCTCCCCGCTGATGTAAAGACATCCTCTCTTTAACCCCTTCTCATCCTTCAGCCCCTCCCCCCCTCCCCCCCACCAGCATATCCTCACCCCCCCCCCCCCACCTGGGCCTCCTGGTGAGTGTCCACCATCACCTCATCATCGCCGGCCTCCGCTCACCATCATTACTGTCACAACACTATTACATCACTCACTATACAAACATCATTACCAGCCTCGTCTGGCCACCATCGGTCATCACCATCAGTGCTGTAACTATCACCAGCACCGCCAGTACTCACTATCACCATCAGAATCTACCACCACCTCCAGTATTCACTCTCACTATCACCTTCAGTACTCACTATCACCACCAGTACTATCACCACCAGTACTCACTATCACCACCAGTACTCACTATCACCTTCAGTACTCACTATCACCACCAGTACTCACTATCACCACCAGTTCTCACTATCACCACCAGCACTCACTATCACCACCAGTACTCACTATCACCACCAGTACTCACTATCACCACCAGCACTCACTATCACCACCAGTACTCACTATCACCACCAGTACTATCACCACCAGTACTCACTATCACCACCAGTACTCACTATCACCTTCAGTACTCACTATCACCTTCAGTACTCACTATCACCACCAGTACTATCACCACCAGTACTCACTATCACCACCAGTACTCACTATCACCTTCAGTACTCACTATCACCACCAGTACTCACTATCACCACCAGTACTCACTATCACCACCAGTACTCACTATCACCTTCAGTACTCACTATCACCACCAGTACTCACTATCACCACCAGTTCTCACTATCACCACCAGTACTCACTATCACCACCAGTACTCACTATCACCACCAGTACTCACTATTCCCTTTCACAGTACATAACTGCCCCAACCTTCTTAACAAACGTGATCTGACTGAAGCCTAAACTCTCTTTTCTTTCCTCTTATTCTTACATCCATACCATTCTTACATTTATACCATTTATCTTCATTAACGCCTATTGTTTCCTCACACTAAGAGTTCCTTAATGTAAAGAATGTTTACACTCAAAGTACCTTACACTGCTCACTTATCTGTTCACACTATCTCACTTATCTCTAAGTGTTTGGGAAATAATTAACGAGCGGATGAGCTGAACTTGCTGGAGCTAACAGTCGTACGGAAAATCCTTATTTACACTTTATTTACACTTGTGTTTATTTACACTTGTGTTTAACGCACTCGAGCGATGTAAATCTGTTTCTCCCGCAAATGTTAACAAAATATAGTAGTGAAGCTCCATTAGAGCGAGTAATTCAGGGCCCCCGGTGTCCGTTCATACTGGGCCCCCGGTGTCTGTTCATACTGGGCCCCCGGTGTCCGTTCATACTGGGCCCCCGGTGCCGCTAATACAACTCTCAGAGGTACTTCCTGGGAAACAATGAATTCCCACCAAAGCGACTGACATACTTTGGAGTAAATTTTGGCTAATAACCCTTTTGTCATGACACCAACATTCCTGTCATTCACAACACGTCTGCATGTGCGTGCGTGCGTGTGCGTGCGTGCGTGTTTACTAGTTGTGTTTACTAGTTGTGTTTACTAGTTGTGTTTTTACGGGGGTTGAGCTTTGCTCTTTCGGCCCGCCTCTCAACAGTCAATCAACTGTTTACTAACTACTATTTTTTTTTTTTTTTTTTTCCCACACCACACCCACACACACACACCAGGAAGCAGCCCGTGACAGCTGACTAACTCCCAGGTACCTATTTACTGCTAGGTAACAGGGGCATTCAGGGTGAAAGAAACTTTGCCCATTTGTTTCTTCCTCGTGCGGGAATCGAACCCACGCCACTGAATTACGAATCCTGCGCGCTATCCACCAGGCTACGAGGCCCCCCTCGCCGTGTGTGTGTGTGTGTGTGTGTGTGTGTGTGTGTGTGTGTGTGTGTGTGTGTGTGTGTGTGTGTGTGTGTGTGTGTGTGTGTGTGCATACACCCAACCGACCAATGGGGTTAGTTTGCACACTCTACCATGCCTACTGATCCTCTCCAGAACTCTTCAACGTTCTGTACGGGTTCCAAATCTCAGCGGCCACATTTGGAACCTGTACATCCCAATATTATCCAGATGTAGGTGATGCCGTTGCTCTCGCCTGAGCTCCAGGCAGTACACCAGGAATGTTCTAAGCGTCGCCAATAATGCAGGTGTTAAGAGAGAGAGAATGGCCCCCGATACTGAACCCTTAACTTCACATTCTCCAGACCTGAACTATCGCCACACTTGTATAATACAGTTAATGTATACACTCCCCCCCTCCTCCCCCCCTTCTTAATGGTGCCCCCCAGTAATGGCAGTCCCCATAAACTACCCATGATACACTGCCCATATTAGGGCCCCCATACACTACCCATTAATAGCGGCCTTGGAGCTACGCTGACACCATTATCGCTACGATAGATGCTCTCCTCCTCTTCCACCTTCCCTCTTCTCTTCCACGTCTCTCCTTTCTCACTTCCGTCTCTTAATTATCCCGTCTCCCTCTTCTCTTCTCCGTTGCACCTTACCTCTATACCACCTCCCCCTTACACGGATTTCCCGCTTCATAATGGGCTTCGGATATAGCCTCCGATATAGGCACTCATCCGTATACGGAGCGCTCTTTCTCTCCCCATATCCGGAGCCACGACGTGGCTGTGGGGGAGCACCTGAAGACGGAGCGCCTGAGCTCTGAGCCCCACTTCCTCAAGCCCCTGTCCATCTCCACTAATTAACACGTAATTCTCTCAATTGGGAAATTCCGTCTCGTGATAGCCTCAACCCTTCCCCCCCCCCCCTCTCTCTCTCTCTCTCTCTCTCTCTCTCTCTGACTACTGCAATGACTCTTTTTCCCCTGTTACTGCATGACTCTTTTCCCCTGTTACTGCATGTTTCTGATGGCTTGTTCTGAGCGAGAGAGAGAGAGAGAGAGAGAGAGAGAGAGAGAGAGAGAGAGAGAGAGAGAGAGAGAGAGAGAGAGAGAGAGAGAGAGAGAGAGAGAGAGAGAGAGATCCAGGGTTGATCGACCACTGCTTACCTCAACATTCTTGTTCAGTGATAATTGCTGGAGGCCGGTGGGAAGTAGAACGGTGAGAGGCATAGGAGAAGAGAAGGAAAGAATAAAAGAACTGCAGATGTCCTATAGGCCTATACGAGACCATCCACGTGTCCCGCAGACCATCCACGTGTCCCGCAGACCATCCACGTGTCCCCCAGACCATACAACTACCCATATAAACTCGTCACCACCTACCGAGTAGAGCTTTAGCGCTGAGGGAAACATGAACCTTACCTGCAAGAGAGAGAGAAAAGAGTTACTATCTCAATAAACTTCATCGCAAAAAAAGAAATGTAGATGTTTATCTCTCAGAATGTTCGGTAATATGTTTATTGTTTGTGATGTGTGTCTATGTATGTATGAACACGACGTACTGAACGGGGTGAGAATAGCTTGAGCTAACTCATCCCTTTGTGTGTATTTTACCTCAATAAACTTATTTCAATTGCAATTTCTCGCATAAACAAAAACAACGCAACTATTGCAATGACAACAACAACACAGCCTAGTGACATAAAAATAAAATCACAGAACATAAACAGAAACCTGAACTACCA